TCATGAAGGGGCCATAGTTCCCCCATGCTGGCTCAGGAATTCTGGGAATTGAAGTCCCCGAGTCATGAAGGGGCCATAGTTCCCCCATGCTGGCTGAAGAATTCTGGGAGTTGAAGTCCACCAGTCATGAAGGGGCCATAGTTCCCCCATGCTGGCTGAGGAATTCTGGGAGTTGAAGTCCACAGGTCATACAAGGCCCAAGTTGGAAGACCCCTGCCCTACCCCATTTCAGTCAAGTGACTGCCCAGTCTCTTCTTATAAACCTCAAGTGATGGAGCCTCATTTGATTGCCCTTTGTGATCACAGGCAAAGTCAGTGGAGGCCATAAAAGAGGCCATAAAATCAAGCGTGATTCTCTTAACATGAATATTGTTTAGCAACGCAACCTCCAATCCCAGTTGTGAAATTGTACTGAGAAATCTCAGCGCTGTAAGCTGGATGGGAAAGTCAGAAAACATCCCGCTTAACAGAATAACAGACATGGAAGGGACCACGGAGGTCCTCTAGTCTAGTCCAACCTTCTGCTCATGCAAGACACCCCATACCATTTTAGATACATGGTTGTTCAATCTGTTCTTAAAAACCTCCAGTGATGGAGCACCCACAATTTCCAGAGGCAAGCCGTTCCATTAATTGTCTGGTTTATTGTCCTCACTGTTAGGAAGTGTCTCCTTAGTTCCAGGTTGGTGGTGATGATGATGATGATGATGATGATGATTAATTGTCTGGTTTATTGTCCTCACTGTTAGGAAGTGTCTCCTTAGTTCCAGGTTGGTGGTGATGATGATGATGATGATGATGATGATGAGGATGATGATAATAATAATAATAATAATAATAATAATAATAATAATAATAATAATAATAATAATAATAATAATAATAATAATAATAATAATAATAATAATAATGACCTGTCTTGCCAGGGTTGGAGCATTCACCACTTCTGGAGGCAGGTTGTTCCACTGGTTAATTGTCCTAACTGTCAGAAAGTTTCTCCTTAGTTCCAGGTTGCTTCTCTCCTTGATTAGTTTCCATCCGTTGCTTCTTGTCCTGCCTTCAGGCGCTTTGGAGAAGAGCTTGACTCCTTCTTCTTTGTGGCAGCCCCTAAGATACTGGGTCACTCCTATCATGATACCCCTCGTCCTTCTCTTCATTAAACTAGACATTCCCAATTCCAGCAACCGTTCCTTGTATGTTTTAGCCTCCAGTCCCCTAATCATCTTTGTTGCTCTTCTCTGTACTCTTTCCAGAGTCTCAACATCTTTTTTACATCGTGGTGACCAAAACTGGATGCAGTATTCCAAGTGTGGCCTTACCAAGGCCTTGTAAAGTGGTATTAACACTTCATGTGGATTCTATCTCTCTGTTAATGCAGCCCAGCACTGTGTTGTCTTTTTTGGCAGCTGCAACACATGGCTGGTTCCTATTTAAGCCAGGTTCACTCAACAACCGTGCTACAAACTTAACACTTGCAGTGATTCACTTAACAACTGTGGCAAGCATTGTCAAAGTCTCTGTTCCTGACTCTGCAGCGAAGAAATATGAATAGAATAGTAGAGTAGAGTAGAGTAGAGTAGAGTAGAGTAGAATAGAATAGAATAGAATAGAATAGAATAGAATAGAATAGAATAGAGCTGGAAGGGACCTTGGAGGTCTTCTAGTCCAGCCCTCTGCTCAAGCAGGACTTGACTTGTCTGGACCTGATCCAAGCTGCAGTGGAGGAATCCTTTTTATGGGTGATCCAGCCCAAGGGCGGTCCAGCTTTCCTCCATCTGCAGATCCCATTTCCTTTTGCAGGGCTGGGACTGGTGTTGTAAATGCAAAAGAATGGACAGGAATGGACTTTTTTTCCCTAAAGGAAAGCCTGAGACATTTATGAGTTTGTTAAAACTTGCAAAGGCTCAAAGCAAACATTTTGACATGCATCTCTTCCTGTGACAAATGTTTCTCCAACTGGACACAGTTTTTAAAACTGTGCTACAATTAGTAAACAATACTGCATGCTTTAAGGCATTTGTAAGTTCCTCAAAAGTAACGTTTCCTTTGACCTGGGTTTAATTCTTGGATACTATAGTCTTCATGTGAGAAGAACAACAAAGATGATTAGAGGACTGGAGGCTAAAACATACGAGAAATGGTTGCAGGAATGGAGTATGTCTAGTAGTTCAATGAAAAGAAGAACTAGGGGTATCATGATAGGAGTGACCCAGTATCTTAGGGGCTGCCCCAAAGAAGAGGGAGTCAAGCTATTCTCCAAAGCACCAGAAGGCAGGACAAGAAGCAACGGATGGAAACTCATCAAGGAGAGAAGCAACTTAGAGCTAAGGAGAAACTTCCTGACAGTAAGAACAATTAACCAGTGGAACCACCTGCCTCCAGAAGCGGTGAATGCTCCAACACTGGAGGTTTTTAAGAAGAGACGGGACAGCCATTTGTCTGGAATGGTACAGGGTTTCCTGCCTGAGCAGGGGGTGGACTAGAAGACCTCCAAGGTCTG